CATTCTATTCGTTTTAATATTAATCTTCTAAATATTTCGATAACTCAGGCATTTTATTATATATATATATATATATATATATATGCACATTTCAATCTTCTTCATTCATTCACCAATTCGCTGACTCACTCACTCGCTAGAGTGCTTCCCCTTCTCTGTAAGCCTAGTGGTCTGTTGGTTCATTTGTAGTGTGCCTTAAATGAACGCATTCAACACTTTGTATTCGACTTCTGATTTATAAACCATCAGGCACTATATTGTAACGACTGTCTGGACGAGCAGAATACAAAGTCTAAGAACATGTTGGATACCAACCGTCACGAAGCTAGTGAGACACTGGCCACCGCAGGCTACTTTCTTGTACTCAAATAAATCTTATACATGGTTTACGATAATAGTGAATAAATTGATGTAAAATGTGGAAAAATGTGAGAGATTGTACTAAAATATGTTTTTTAAACTTTTTGATTAGAAGTACCCTGTGTTTATATAATTTGCTTTTAAATGATAAAAAGACTATTATAAAAGAACCTGTAGATCATCAATAGATATGGCGAAGTCTACTTAAAGGTAAACAGAAATGGTAGAACCTCCAAGCTTACATCATAGTCATACCACATGGTTTATACATTAACTCTAGCTTATCGATTTCGTTTGTGACAGGTTAAAATAAATGTATAAATACAAAGTAGGGCCAATTATTTATGGGACATTTCATAGTACACGTTTGACTAATCAGTGTCCTCTATCTTTGACTTTGACGTTATTCGATGAACTGTTCAACATTCACTGGCCCTCTGTCTAATGCCGGAACGTCCATGGATGATTTGGTGAAGGCTAAGTAACTCTTTACTTGCCTTATAAACCCGTTTGGTCATCAGTAAAATGTAATATTTACTGCTGACAGTTTCGCCAATAGTTTCATGATGTACATCTCAGACGCTGTTGTATTCTTTGAACTAGATTCAATCCATGAATTATAAAACCATCCAAATCATGAAAATATGTTCCAAACCATAAGTATTACACCGTTACGACTATCACGCATCCTTGTTGCAGCTAGTTTCGAAAAGAAATTTCCTAGAATCCTAGTAAAAATTAGTGATCAGTAAAGCTAAATCATGTCAAGCGTAATAAACAGGACTGTTAGATGTCGTCTCAGTAATCTGGAGGTTAGGTGTTGATTTGAGGGTTCGAGTCCTGTTTGCGAAGGTTTTGGATGCGCACCGCCCAGGAGTTAGTTTCATACTAGAACGAAGCGAGCATCCTAGTACTAACAGGTTTTCAATGTTAGTCTAACTTAGATTGATACAACATTTCAGTTTAATTAGCTTTATTCAATAAAGAATGATACTACCGTTTACAAGCTGAAAAATGTTCACTCGCACACACTATGATATAACTAGAATTATTTTGTCAAACACACACACATATGTGTATTTCATTTTCTATCACTATCAATTCTCGTTTTTAAAATGAATCAGTCAATAGTTTTGAAACATTTATTTTAAGAAATGTCTATCATATTACTTAAGAAAAGAGTTAAGTAGGATAAAAAATAATCATGAATCCTTTGATGAATTAGTTTTACTGTCAAGTCATTATGTTCTGTTGCATAATTTATTCAGTTGTTAATATTTTCTTTGAATGAATATTCAATTGTCAATACTTTAACAGTAGGAAAAAATTATCTCAGTGATCGCCTTTAGTTCATAGTAGGGTTTTTAGCAAATTTATGAGAGTTTGTGAGTACATCACTTTGGTAAATGTAACCAGTTAGTTAATGAAAATAAATTCGAAACATGAAATTTTTTAACACATTTGAAATCATCAATCAATTATTGTTGGACCACCATCGGAAACCTAGAAGCATTGAAAGACAACCGTTTCGTCCTGGTATGGGACTCATTAGCAGTGCACGTCCACGACTCTTGTACCTTAAAGGATTCGAAACTGGGGCCTTCGGTCTTGTGAGCGAATTTCAAACCTTACTAGTGACTAGCTTCGTGAGGAAATTCTCGGAGTTCTAGGGTGAAGACGTGACTAGTGGAGTTCAACCTTGTCGGGTGTAGGAGGCAGTAACTACCAAAGACAAATTAGTGCGATTGCGCAAAATCCCTAGATCAACCAAATTTAGACATTAACACAGTTGGATGCCGGCCCTCGAATCCTGAGAGGTGCAGGAGTCGTGGATGCGCACTGCTGATGAGTCCCATACCATCTTTCAGTGCTTCCAGGTTTCTAATGTGTAAAAACACTAATCTCCATAAATCTAAATGAAACTTCTTGATAAGAAACATTTATTTAAAAAGATGATAATTTATTAAATATGAATTGGTTGACTAGTTTCAAAAAAAGGAATCTTATCAGATCAAAGTTCAGTTCTTTGTGAGGAACTGAACATGTATATTGATTGACTGATTGATGAGTTTCCCTTCAAGATAAAGTTAGAGCAATTCACATTTCATTTTGGATAAGCCTGTTTGATGAATTTATTTATCAGATTGAGTCATTTGTATTTCAATAACTGATTTGTATTATATTGTGTTTCTACTATATATATGTATATATATGTACATTTTAATCTTATTCGTCAGTACTCTCACCAGTATTTTGGTGAACCTCGACTTCGAATACAACATACCTACCATGAAATCAATGAGTCCGTTGCGAAAATTTAATGTAGCGACATAAAAATAGTATTCCCTGATGTCGAATTTAACAGAGCCTGACGAACTACGACAATAAAGCAGCTCTCGAACTTATTGCATTCAACGAATGAATTGATGTACCCGACTTGACAAATAACAAAACAGATGTCTGCATCTTGAATCCAACGTATGCGGCCAAGCCAGTTCATTGGTTATATGGACACAGGAATATTGTATGTCGCATAATTCTATTTCGCGAAATTATGAATTTATACTAATCACTCACATAATCGTAATAATACGAATAATTTTATTCACATTGTAACACATTCACAACTCACTGGATTATTGGATAATGCTAACACTTTTCCAGATGAAAGTGAGTTCGTTTCATTGATTTTTTTGGCCATATCGCTTTTATCGATGCAATCGGCTCTATCGTCAGAATAACTATTCATTATCATTTTCGTAGCGACATGAATATCTCATAACACACATTGGTAGTATGACGACACGCACATATATATACAAGAACTATCAGACTAAGCAGTCGAACAAACCTCTTGCATGCTGATAATAGCATGATTATCAGTGCGCTCACTGGCTCGCTGGTTCGCTCTTCAGCGCTCTCATGTTGTGTTGTATGTTTGCGATGTTTGTGATCTGTGTGTGTGTGTGGTGCGATAATAAACATGATCACTGCTTCATATTCGTCTTCTGATTTACACATTGTTGGGCATGATCAGGTTGATCAGTATATGAAGTCTCAGAGTATATCGAATACCAACCGCCACAGAGTTGATGATCCCAACTTCAAGTATCACACAGCTACATTCATCACAAGTCAACATTCAAACATCTTTAGTTATCAACTGTTAGAGTCATTATTACAAATATTGTAACAACTTGTTTGCAAAATATCATCACAGCTGAATCTATGCACATGTACACAACATACATGCAAAGATTATACATTACATTACACAATGTAACATACAACTACTACTACACTAGTTCAAGTGATACAGACATGACTGCACATATTTATTTTTTTTCCTCATTGAATACTATTTTCATTGGGAGAATTTGAAATAAAACGATTGACTGTCAACGAATAAATAGACAGGAGAAATATTCGTTGCGGTAATTTATTCTTATTTGAATAGTGTTTAATGAATACGCTACATTTGTAATAGAATCTGTAAGTTGTTGATCATGTTTTATTTATTTTAATAAAAGGTTACTACTGAATATAAAATTTATTTCTGGTTAAAAATTATTTATGAAGATTATTGTTGACAATTGAAATCAAGAAACTCACTCATTGTTAGATCACCACTCTTGTAGAAACCTGTAATCAGTGACAAGAGTGTACATCTACAACTCAGGAATCGATCGAGGAACTTCCGTCTCGCGTGTGAAGAGTCTCATACTAGGACGAAACAGCCGTCTTCTGCAATGCTTGTAGGGGTCTCTAATCTTCGTCGTGATCTAACAATGATTGATTTGTGGTTTCAATCAACATCTATTTGCTTATTATTTATTGTAAAAAATATTTTCAACAAATTACCGTGTTAAGAAATATAATTATGATTAGTTCAGTTATAAATTAATTTAAAAATATTATTTTGAAACATGGCCTGTAAGAGTCGAAGGTATTTGTCGTTTACTACTATTCTATCATACGTGTCTTCGAAGCGTTGCTTGTATATCCTGTGACAACCGACTAAGTAATGCTGTCGTTAGGAAACGAGTTCTAGGTAGGGATGGCAAATCAATAGATGAAGTATTAAAACTTCATCAGTTGAGCTGGTTGGGACATGTGTTACGTATGAATAGCCACCGACTGCCTAGTCGAACAATGTTTTGTGATGCAGAAGTAGGTTGAAAGAAAGCTATGGATCGCACAAATCCATGAATCGACTGTTAAGTAGACTGAGCCATGTTGGTAGGTGTCAACTGCCTGGTTGCAGTCCTCGAGATGGTTGTAGTCGATGGTTAGAGACCCTGAATGACATGGCTCAAAATCGTTTGCTATAGTGCAGGTGCCTCTATTGTCTGTGGTATCTCAAATTCTAACTTTCTAAATTCCTCATCACCTCTATCTTTCTCTTTTTGAATTTATTTCACTGAATTATACTTCTTGAATACCATCTTCGAACTCTAATCTTCTCCATTACCGCTAATACTTCTACTACCGCTACCACTGTGCGATGTAAATTGACAGGTGCACCTCTGTGTGCTTAAGTGGTATAATAACTTGCACTGATGTACGTACATACGAAGTCTTACTTTTTAATTGACTGACTGAAACGACTGAAACTTATTTCATTTAATCACAAAAAATGTATGAGTCCAAAGTAGGAAGACAAGTGTACTGTTTGAAAAAAAGCCTCTATTTATTAAACTTCAGTTCAACGGGGGATGTGGCTAGCAAACTCCTGCATGATAGATTAGCGAGACTAATTAGTAGGACATTCTACACAGCCAATCTTGAGTTGACTTTCTCTTACTGACCAGTGATGTCCACTCAAACGAAGGATGAGTTAACTCAATTAGCCTCTTCAATGTGTATTTATAAATTCGGCTGCTCATGTAGAGATCGCCATATTCGGCGTACTGTTAGACAACTTAACTAATGAGTAAGTGAACATGGTTTAGAAAGGGCCAGATAACAACAGTACATATGATTGATAGTGGTCACATTGTAGATAAGTCTAGATCTTTTCGGGTGATCTATCGTATACCTTCATCATTTCCCAACGGAGTTTGATCCCGTCTCCTATATATTAGCGAAGCCAAAGGAATCCAATCATCCAACCCCAATTTATATGTTCAGAAGAAATGCGTGACACCCCTATCCCTTCCGTGGCCGGATACATTCAGTACTTGTTTGCAATTTTTCAACTTTTCCGTTTATATTCTTCACTATCTAATTATTTACACACTTCTTAACAAAAACTCCTATTATTGAATTTTATTATTCTTACTACTAACAGTACATCTGTACTTTTACGCCTATTATGTGTAGTTACATAATCTCTATTTCATTACGATTATTGACTCAAACTACCATAACTGGTTTTTAATATTTTCAGTGTGAATATTCATGTATATTAGAGAATAAAGCCTGATGGTGTTCTAATTGAAAACAACACTATATTGATCGCTTGTATCGGTGTTTTTTCAAATAGATTCTTGTAGTGTACACTGTTACGTCACATCTACATGGGTTATTCACGTATTCTTTCCAAGTCATTATCCAGAGAGATTTTTGACCTTTTCCATTATTCACTTATAACCTTGACTGTTTTTAATTGAATGTGTGTGTGTGTGTATGTATTCCTTACTCTATTCATCGCATGTCTTTAGCTTATTTTTTCGTCTAGCTGTAAATAGTGAGTCAAGCTTTATCAAATGTAGTTGGCGCGCTTGCCATCTCCACTTCGTTTTATTTCTTTGCTCCTCTGCCTGCGTAAATGATTGAATGAAATCAGCTCATTCAACTGAATCCTTACAAACGGAGTTATTTATCCTAAACATGAATATCTGGTGGCCGGTGCCTCGTAGCGGTCGGTATTCAATATGTTCTCAAACTTCGTATGCTGCTCGTTCAGACAATCATTATTAAAACTAACGCCTCATGGTTTTTTATGAATCAAAAGAAGAATACGAAGTGTTGAATACATTTATTTGGAGCGTCACAAATCAACCACCGAACCACAAGCAGAAGGTCAAGAAAGTGAATGAGCGAGTTAACGGATGAATAAATAAGATTAAAATGTATATATATATATATATATATATATATATATATATATATATATAACTTAGGAAACATGGATGAGAGTCATCGAATTATTTTGGAGGCTAACATTAAAGCGAATAGGAAGAATATGTTGTACGTAGGCGGTAAGCACTGTTCAGTCAGTCATGCCTGCTCATACAAACCCAACAATAATCAACTTACTTACTTACTTACGCCTGTTACCCCCAATGGAGCATAGGCCAACCACCAGTTTTCTCCAACCAACTCTGTCCCGGGCTTCCCTTTCCAGTTCTGTCCAATGTTTGTTCATTCCTCTCATATCTTTCTCTATTTATCGGCGTAGTGTGTTCTTTGGCCTTCCTCTCTTCCTTCTGCCTTCAGAATTCCAAGTGAGAGGTTGTTTGTGACACAGTCTGGTGTTTTCCTCAATGTATGTCCTAGCTACTCCCATCGCTTCTTCCTGATTTCTTCCTCCACTGGAATATGGTTTGTTTTCTTCCACAGTAGGTTGTTGTTGATCGTCTCTGACCAACGAATCCGAAGTATTTTGCGTGGGCAATTGTTAATAAACACTTGTATCTTGTGGATGATGGCTTTGGTAGTAGTTCTCCATGTTTCCTCTCCATACAGTAGTACTGTCTTCACATTTGTATTGAAAATGCTGATTTTGGTTTTGGTTGAAAGTTGTTTTAAGTTCCAGATATTTTTCAACTGTAGAAATGCAGCCCTTGCTTTGCCAATCCGCGCCCTCACATCTGCATCGGATCCACCTTGGTTGTCGATGATGCTGCCCAGATATTTATAGGTGTTAACGTCCTCCAAGGTATCTCCATCAAGAGTGATTTGGTTGGTGCATGTTGTGTTGCATCGGAGAATTTCGCTTTTTCCTTTATGTATGTTTGGACCTACTACTGCAGAGGCTGCTGCTAAACAATAATCAAAGCCAATGGTATATATAAGCTATTGCTATACAAATGACTCAGTTTAACGAGTTCAATCGCAAGGGCTTACCCAAATTAACTATGAACAAACTCAAATATATGTTGAAAGTACTACAACTTCATCCTCTTTTGGCAAGAGGATGGCAAAAAATTACATCCTTGACTTGGATTCGAGTTATTTTGAATGTTATCCTCATGTTATCTAAACATCATGTGATTTCAGATGATGTTAGTGTGTGTACACAAATATGCCGAGTCCACAGTTGTCTTGCCCTAGATTTTGGACCAAGTAATTAAGTCCATCCTGCCTGAGTTACTATTCGCCAATCTTTTGACCTTGTCAAATATTCGCTAAAAAATCTTGATTGCTTTTTACCCGATTATGTAAGTGAATTGCTTGGTTCGTTCATTATAAGTCTAGCCTATCATTCTCTGACGATAAATACACTTAGTCATGCCTCATCCCACGGAGTTGGTTCACTTTCCGTCAGTGCTTCGCTTCATCCTGCTATTACGCTTTGTATATTCTCATATCTCTGCTGTCTACATGAACGATTGTATAAAATAAAATCCTCAAAATGAATCGGTATTTAGCTTCTAATTATTACCGTCCTTGCCTAAGCATGATAAACGGCAATTGAAGGAAAGATTTATTTCATTGCTGTATTTTGAATGGTTAGAAAAATAAATATTGAAGTCAGATCACGGATCACTAAACTCCCTTTTTTATTTTTTTTAAAAATCTTTTTCAACATCAGAATCATTTCCTTGTCGTTAAAAAAACTGGATCATACAGAAGTTAAATATCACAATAATAATAACGATAGCAACTCATGTTCTGCATTTCGTGTGCCTAAATGTACACGTTGTCGTAATCATGGAGTGATTTCCTTATTAAAAGGTCATAAAAGACATTGTCGTTGGAGAAATTGTCATTGTGCTGCTTGTCTACTTGTGGTTGAACGTCAACGTGTTATGGCTGCACAAGTTGCTTTAAGAAGGTAAGTTATGTCAAGCGACGATTGTTAATGATGAGTTTAAAAAAAATTATTTTATAAATCTTTCATGTAGGGGAATGATTTGTAAAGCCACACATGTAAGTGGGAGATAGAGTAACCCAGAAAAAAAAACACTGGATTAGACATAAAAAAAAGTCAACGTAATGTCTGGCAGAAGAAGATGGGGGAAGATAAAGAAAGGAAGAGTTAGAAGAACACAATGGAATTTGTATGAAACGCATGAATAGTAGTGACAATGGATTGATGTTTTGCAACAGGAACAGTCCAGTTCGATATGATGAACTGATATTTTGCAAATGAACGATTTACGATATGTTTTTCCAATTTTACTGAGTAACTCTGTAATTTTCGTTAAATACAATTCGGTTGCCCCACCTGTGTTATCATTCACTCAACGAATTCACTAAAATACCGGATATTCTGTCTATTTGCTTCATTTACATAGCTACTAATTCTGTCGTATTACTTACTTACTTACTCACTTACTAACGCCTGCGTTTTGATTACCATTTGTTGTTGCATATGGGATAGGAAAGCTAGATCATCTTTGAAGTCTAGATTGTCAAACTGCATTCTAGCTGTCCACTCTCTTCTTTGCTTCCCATGGAATGTTGACGTCTTCATAAAACAGTCGATCATCAGGAGAAAGAGAAAGGATGAGAGTAAGCATTGTTCCATGCCACCGATCTTTATGTCGAACAAGTCTGTCAGTTGTCCTCCGTGCACAGTTTTGCTGTTTAATCCATCATAAGAATTCTGTATGATATTGACGATCTTCTCATGCACTCCGCAGTGTCGAAGAAGCCTCCATAGTGTTTTCCTGTCCAGACTATCAAATGCTTTCTCGTAGTCAATGAATTTGGTGTCGAGCGGTGAATTCCATTCAGTTGGTTGTTTCACAATGATCCGTAATGATGCAATTTGGTCGTTTCATGATCAATCCTTACGGAGTCCAGTCTATTGATTTCAAAGTTTGACATCTACGAAGTCCTTCATTCTGTCTAACAGCACTCTGTTGAAGACTTATGCTGGTGTTGAGAGAAGAGTGACGCCTCTGTAGTTTTCACACTTGTCGAGATCTCCTTTCTTTGGTATTTTGAATAGGCATTCTTTTTTTCAATCTGTTGGTACTTTTTATTCATCCCAGATCTTATTGAAGAGGATGTGGATTATTTTTGCAGTCGCTTCTACGTCTGTTTTCGGTGCCTTAGCTAGAATATTTTCTGGTCTTGCTGCTTTGCCACTCTTCATTTGTCTAGTGGCCATGCTCATCTCTTCAATTGTTGATGGGCCAACATTAATTAAGACGTCCGTGGATGCTGTATCTATGTTGAGTGGTTTCATCGGGACTGGTCGATTCAAGAGTTCTTTACAGTGTGCCTTGTTCGGCTGGTATTGATTACTGCCTCCTCGTTCCTTTTTTCTTCAATTTTTTCAATAGTACCAACAGAGATTCATTCCTTGTGATGGTACTTCCTGTGGCTGAAAATCTCATGTCATGTTGAATTGATTACCTCCTTGATCCCTTTCTGATTTTTCTCCATGGTTGCTTCCTCTCAACTGAGTAGATCGTGAAAGGTCTGGAACTTATGGCTGAGGGCTATCCTGAATTCGCTAGGTTTTCTAGAATCCCGAAGAAACGCCGTATCAAACTTTTGTGATGTCCATTGCTTCTTGAGTTCCAGTTTCATTTTGGCGACCAGTAAGCGGTGATCTGAGGCTAAATCAGTTTCTCTCTTGGTTCTCACGTCTTTCATGGTCCTTCTGAACTTTTTATTGATATAGATATAGTTGATTTGACTTTAAGTAGCGTGATCCCATGAAATCCATATAACTTTGCGTATGCATTTATCTGGGAATATTGTTGAAGGTTTGCGAATTGCTCACCATCTCCCAGTCCATGTCGTCCCATAATGCCCACCTCGACATTCTCTAGTTTTTTTTAATTTATTAAACTAACTACTAATATAAGTAACAAGATATCAAGTGCACAAATTTTTCTCATATTCAACGATTGAATAGAATTGTCTAGAATCCCTGGAATATAATTTGAGTTATATTTGCTACACTACTCATCAACAAAGCTAGTAAGAAATGTAGATACAAAATTCAACAGAAATAACTTCCAACTACCTAAAATCAGTATTCATAATAGTCTTCTGTTTGACTCGGTTTCCATATATACATTTGTAGTGAATGAGAACACAGGTGGGGCAACCGAATTGTATTTAACGAAAATTACAGAGTTACTCAGTAAAATTGGAAAACCATATCGTATATCGTTCATTTGCAAAATATCAGTTCATCATATCGAACTGGACTGTTCCTGTTGCAAAACATCAATCCATTGTCACTGTTCATGCGTTTCATACAAATTCCATTGTGTTTTAACTCTTTCTTTCTTGACCTTTCCCCATCTTCTGCTGCCAGACATTACGTTGACACTCACGTCATATACTACTTATAAGTAGATCGCACCACACATTGACACTGAAATATCCAGTATTCTCTTTGATATTGAATGATTATAGAAAATTTGTGAGAGATTTTAAAACCTCGGCAATTAATGGAAACGTAAATACCTAAACACTAATCTTTCATAACTCAACACTAAGTTGAGCAATATCTCAAGCCTTACAGACAACACTATTTCTTTCAAGATTGTAGATATGCTCTTGACGGTAAGTGTTAAATTGTACAAAATTTAAACAAGGATAACAAATTTTTCAATTAAAGTTATGGAGATTGTTGTTCTTTTTTACACATTTGTAATCGTCAATCAATCATTGTTAGACCACCATTAGAAACATGGAATCACTGAAAGAGGTCAGTTTCATTCTGATATGGGGCCCATCAGAGGTTAAGTGTTTGCGCGCAAGACCGAAGGTCCCGGGTCCTGCGAGTAACAGGAGTTGTGGATGCGCATTGCTGATGAATCCCATACCAGGACGAGACGGTCGACAGCGCTTTCAGGTTTCTAATGATGTGGTCTAACAATGATTGATTCATGGTTTCAAATGTGTGAAAACAATAACAGATCTTTTGATAAAATCACTGTTAGTATTCTCATAATGTCACTTGAAATTTCATTGTGTTTTTAAAAAAAAATTTTATCAAGACAACAAACATCTCAACATTTAACTTGTTCAGAGAATATAATAGATACGAATAAACAAAAATATGATATTGAACATTTACATGACTATCAAATTAACAATCCGCTGAACAAATTCAACTTTTCAATTCCTTATAATATCAATAATAATAATAATCACAATCATAGTCAACCTTTTACAATGTTGAGAAGTAGTGCAGTGATTCCCAATAATGCAACATCCATATTTAATTCGATCGATAGTGCACCGGAAATCTATACAAAATTATCAAATGTGAATTATTCAAATAAAAATCTTGAAAATCATGTTGAATCCTACTACAATGAATTGGATAAAACTTTTTCGACTGGTAAGTTATATTCCTTTTTGTTTGGAATTTGGTAATGAAGTGAATATGTGTATCGTGATGTTTTAGAGCAGTTTCAGATCATAAAAAATCGATATTACATATATATGCAGTATGAACTAGCACATTTCTAAAACCTTGAACTATTGATGATGAAATTGAGATCATAGTTTAGAGTAAAATAAGTTGAAATTGATCAGAATTAAAATTATTTTGTAATGCCTTCACATACATTTGAGTTCACTTATATCTAATTTGGTTAAGTGTTTCGATTAACGTATAGTTAACCAAGCCATATTTGTAAACAAACGAATATTGTTTACGTTTGTAGTGTGCTGATTTGGGCGTGTTCTTACGTTTCGTAATAAGCTCGTTCGGATTGTCTTATCCAAATGACGTCTGACGGTTAATAAATCAGAAGATGAACTCCAAGTATCGTATACGTTTATTGTAGCACACCACAATAAGGATAGCCGAGAAGCGTATTGGAGAAGGCTAAGAGCCAACTCAAAGAGATAGAGTATGACTAAGAATATATAGTCAGATAAGAATAAGACAGACATATGACAAGCGAAATAGATATGCACACACATGAATAAAAGCGACGAATGATTGACAAGATCAAAAGCAAGCGATACAAATCATGTGAGTTCATGACGATATTAAGAGATTAACATTAAAGCGAAAAGTATGAATATGCGCGCAAGTGTAAACAATGTTCAATCATACCAGCGCATACAAACCACACAATAATAAAAGCCAATGGTACATATAAGTTATTGTTTTACAAATGGCTTGGTTAAATAAATTAATCGAAAGGGCTTAACCAAGTTAGATGTGAGAGAACTGAAATATATGTGGAGGCACTACACGTTTATATGCATATTCATCCTATTCACTTTAGTGTTAATCTGTTAAAAATATCTCGATGACTCAACATTTCCTTATGTATATGTACGAAAATTTTAATCTCATTAATACACCCACTGATTCGCCAACTCGCTCACCAATGCACTTGCCCTACTCTGTGTGTTTGTGGTCTGATGGTCCATTTTTTGGTGTGTCAAAAATAAACGTATTCGATTCCTCGTGTTTTCATTCTGATTTATAACCTATCGGGCGCTATTTGGTGACAATTGCCTAGACGAACAAATTACGTCGACCAAGAACACGTTGAATATCAACCCTTCACGATATTAGTGATAAACTGGCCACCACATTGTATTCATCAATGAATGAATGAAAAAGATGCAATCAAAGTATGAGAAAGTGTTGAAATTAAGCATGATGTCATGTTACGAGGATGAAGAGATTTTTCACAGCTTCCTTTTGAACACAAAAAATTTGGTTTCAATAGGTGAATGGTTATACTACATCTTGTTACCCCCCAATGAAGCATAGGCAACCGATGGATTTTCTCCATTGTGCATTAATCACAAGGAAAGATTTCAGTGAGAGAGATTGCACCTCTGAATGCCTTTGTTTCACTTGACCTTGATACATATAGTCACCTTGAATAACTTTTATAATTATAAGCATGTTCATTTCTATGATAATTCAGATTTTAAGCAGCTGATGCAAAGAACCTAACGAGATGAAATAGATTCATATGATTCTGTACCAATCTTTGTGTTTTGATCCCTTCAACATTATTGATATTGTTATAAAACAACGATAAATATAAAACCCCTTAATCTTGACTTAGTTACTTACTTACTTACTTACGCCTGTCACCCCCAATGGAGTACAGGCCGCCCACCAGTTTTCTCCAAACAACTCTGTCCTGGGCTTCTCTTTCCACTTCTGTCCAATTTCTGTTCATTCTTCTCATATATTTCTCTATTTCTCGTTGTAATGTGTTCCTTGGACTTTCTCTTTTCCTACTGCCTTACGGGTTCCATGTGAGGGCTTGACTTGTTACGCACTCAGGTCCTATCCACTTCCACCGCTTCTTCCTGATTTCCTCCTCCACTGGAATCTGGTTTGTTTTCTCCCACAGTTCGTGTCTGGCCAACGAATACGAAGTATTTTGCATACACAACTGTTAATAAACACTTGTATCTTCTGGATGATGGCTTTGGTAGTTCTCCATGTTTCCGCTCCATATAGTAGAACTGTCTTCACATTTGTATTGAAAATGCTGATTTTGGTTTTGGTTGAAAGTTGTTTTAAGTTCCAGATATTTTTCAACTGTAGATATACAGCCCTTGTTTTACCGATCCGTGCCCTCACATCTGCATCGGATCCACCTTTCTTGTCAATGATACTGCCCAGGTATGTAAAGGTGTTACCGTCCTCGAAAGCATCTCCATCAAGCGTGATTTGGTTGGTGCATTTTGTGTTGCATCGGAGAATTTCGTTTTTTCTTTTATGTATGTTGAGACCTACTGCTGCAGAGGCTGCTGCTACACTGGTCGTCTTCTCTTGCATTTGTTGTTGAGTGTGCGATAGAAGATCCAGGTCATCTGCGAAGTCCAGATCATCCAGCTGCGTCCTAGCTGTACACTGAATACCGTGCTTCCCTCCAGATGCTGACGTCTTGATGACCTCCAGGGATGAAAATCCGGGCGGTGAGGTGCTATCTGACCTTATTTGGGTCGCACTTTTCCAACC